CTATGTGTCATTGAGAAATTATTGTTTGCTTATACATTCCCAATAAAAAAGAAATCATAACTTACTTAGTAAATCAGCCAAAAATTTTAAGAAAGGAAACCCAGAAAATAATACATAGTAGTAGAACAAATAACTTCCAATTTGTAATTTAAACCTATCACAGCTGTATTTCCAGCAAAAGAATGGGAGAAGAAATTTACACACAAACAAAATGTGGGGGAAAAAAATCTGTGATCAGTAGAACTGGCCTAAAGCAAATAATGAATGGTGTTTTCTGGCAGGAGAAATATTATCTTAGACGGAAAGTTCAAAAGACAGAAAAGAAGAAAAAGCAAAGAAATATACAAATATGTCTTTGTTGACCTTAAATTTGGGTTTCTACCCTTCTGTTCTAGTTTTATACCAGGATTTCCATTGGCAAATTTTCCTCAAATGCTCAAAAATATAACACCATATCCTCTTATTTCTTTCATGTGGAAAAATATTCATGTTTTCTCTAAGTCTTGAGAACTGTTACAACCGTATTTCCATAAGACTGGTGATATTCTATTAATATTATCAGCACTGTCGACAATAACCATCTTCAACATGTTGGCTGTTACTCTCCAGAGCTTCTCCTGGGAGGTGAGATATGATTGATTTTCCTATCTCACAGAGGGTTGTTATAACATGACAAATGGTTTGAGGATTTTCCAAGTCTATCTGTAGTATTTACAATACAACTTGTATTGGAAAATACTGGAACTGAATTTTTAAACCTGTGACCAACTGGATAGAACCTTTTGTCAGAGCACTAAGTAATGCAAAAATGTATTTCCAATACCTGCATATCAATCCTGTTTCATATTGAATATTGATATGTTCCTGGACTCTCACTTGTTCTAAAATTATACAGGGGGTTTACACATGTTAAATGTGTAGGCAACATGAGATACTTCTTTCTTCCAGGTGAAATTTTTTTCTTATCAAATATATGATTGTCCTGAACTAAAGGCAAGTTTCCCTCTACTTAATAGTAGAACAAGTTATGGGATTTAAAATGAAATTTGCATTTTAAACTATAAGGCTTTTGTGTTTGACCCACCATAGGTAGCTAATTATATTACAATATACCTCAGAGGTAAAAGGAGAATAATAAGAAAAAGGCAGCATTCTTTATTTAACATGATTTTAATTTCATTCCTCCATGGTATATTTTCCCCATTCAACAGAGATATCTAATTGATTACCATCTATGTCTTAAACATAAAGGCATCATCTAACAAACTTCACTTAAATTGATCTGTGTGGTTGTTAATTTCTCATCAAAGAATAGTAACTTCTCAAAGCAAAAGTGATAAACTGGTATGAGCTGATAGTATTATCCTTTAAACTTTGCCAATAATAACTTCATTTATCTTTGGAAAAAAAATATACTGGTTAAAGTGTGTTTAATCTGTCTGATGTTGTAACTCTACAGAAGGATTTATTCCAGTCCATGTACATTAGGTAAAACACTGTTTTCTTACCTTGAAGAGGGAAGTGCATGTGTATTTTGAAAATACTAACACCCTTTGTCTTGTATGGAAACTTTCATTTACATTAGTAATCACAGAGTAAGACATAGAAAAGACATAAAGCTATATTATTGAATTTACAAACGGAAATTAAATACAAAGTGCCAGTAAGAGTCTGAAAACCAGTAAGAATAAATAAATTTGCAGATAATGAAAAGTTTTCAAACACAGTGTGGCTTACAGTTTTCACAACACTGATGTAAAGTTCACAGGCCTTCACCTCTCATTTCCAATGTAGCAAGGGGTTCTGTACACTGCATATATACTTTATCAGCATGTTAATAATGCAAAATGGGGATAAACATATATTCACACCAATTTTTAAAGTACTTTAGTTCACAAAAGCCTATTTTAATGTATATTTCTTCTAGTTGTCATTATAAAACACTGCATTCTCTCCTGGGTTTTGAGATGTATATATATTTTTTCAACATTAACCAATATTTCAGTTATGAAATCAATATCCCTAGAGGCTTACAGCACTACTTAAAGGACATATGGTCCATACAACCTTTATTCCATTATTATCTATATATTTTATCTTATTCAAAGATCAAGAAACAGAAATACCTATGTGGATTTGGGGGGTGGGGGGTATGCTTTTATGCTTTCTTTGTATGCTACTTTTTCCAATTTGGGCATTATGTCCTCAATTTCCATAGAGAAGCATATAAGAAACCTATAGACACCTAAAGTTTATATTTATTATTGGGATGCTGTTTTGGGTATTGTCTGCTGTACTATCAAGATATCAAAAGTTATGAAGAAACTTCTTCTTTTATAATGACTCAAGGGAGTAACTTCCCTTCAAACCTCTGTGTTCATTTCCTGAGAAAATGGTTTATTCTTCTCTTGAGGACATTCTTTATTTGCTCTTCCATCTATAACAATTATACAAGACTTTATAATATTCTTCACCTCATTATCCTTTACCATGAATTTCTTTCTGTTTTTAGCCCCATAACATACTGTAGTTATTTCTGTAGGTCACACTATCTTTTTTAAAAAAATTTTGACACACAGATAAAAAGTATAAAACATTATCACCTTTTTTATATTGATAGATGAATAAAGCAGAGACATTATTGAGCACATCCTGATGGTTGAAGCTACCATAATTAAAACTCAACTTAGACTCTCAAATATAGCCTGGATTCTATTTCTGCCTAGGAAGCTAGAAAGAGAGTTTGTATGATGCCAATGATAACAACAAGAAGAACAAAAATACAAAGCTGGATATGCTGCAAAATCACAACATATTTTGAAACCCTCAGAAGCTAAACTACAGTCCAACCCAGAAACCTGGTTTATGGAGAGGCAGTACTGCAGAGTGTAAAACCTGAGGCAAAACATGGAAGAAAAGAGTAGATGCGATTTGTATAGGAAGAAAGAAAGCAGTTACATTTTAACAAATTGCTATTTTCTGTCTCTTTGTCAGCATGATAGGAAATTCCGGAAACACAAAAGGAATTCACCCTCACTCACAGTCTCTTTTCCTTTGATCCTTCAGTGGGCACTCACAAGAATATTAGAAAGCAGATCTGTGATCCAGAGAAAGTCTCCTGTAATGAATAGCCAACCTTGTCAGAAGGCATGAAGCCGGTCCTCTCCGGCTCCCTTCTATATGCAGCAAAAAACTTAAGCCTCAAGAGAAGAAACGGAAAATTTTGTCATGCTTAAGATTCAGAAAAAGATCCATAGTTGATGGGAGATGATGAAAGAAAAATCACTTTACACATACAAAATGAACAGGAAATAATGTAACCCAAGACCTACTGCTGTTATAGGTTTAACATCGTCAGAAAGGTAGAAGCAGAAACCTGTCTCCCCAAATTGACCAGCCATCAATAACTGACAGAGTTGGTTTGCCCTTGGGAAGAGGGAAAGAAATGAGTCTCATCTTCAAGGAGAAGGCATACAGGGAATAATAAAATCTGTGGATGAGCCAGGACAACAAAGAATCCCCTACCTTCTAACAATGATTACGACAGCAACAGACTTCAAAACAAAAGCTGAACAAATCAAAAATCATCCACTCTTTTTAGATCTATCAGAGATAAGAGGTCACAGGGCAAACAGCTTTCCCAAACACTGCGTGAAATAGGTGAATACAGAGAGGCATACTTCTCGGGACAGAAATCTATGAGCAGGAAGCATCTTTCTGTAACCCTGGGAACTCTCAAACTGTGATTCATGAATGGCTGGAGGCTCAGCATGGAGGATTTTGTAAATTGACGTCTGTATGAGAAATGAAGATAGGCCTCAATGGATGAATTGATGAACAAACTGGTATAGGCATACAAGGGAGTATTATTGGCCATAAAGAAAATGAACTATCAAGATATCAAAAGTTATGAAGAAATCGTCAATGAATATTCTTAAGTAAAAGAACCAAATATTAATAGTCTACATACTGTATTATTACAAATATGTGGCATTCTAGAGAAGGCAAAACTGTGCAGGCATTAAAAATACCAGTAGTTGTCAGAGTTTTGAGGATGGAGACAGAAGGAAGGGACATAGGAGGAGCCCATGGATTGCTAGGCTGTGTAACACCTCTTGACACAGTTGTGACGGGTGTTATCACACATTTGTCAAAATCCCAGAAAGTACTACAAAAGAGTAAATTAATGTATGATTATTCTTCCACCCATTTTAACAAAAGTGTCACAGTAATTCTAATAATAGGGGAAACTTTATATATGTGTTGTGTATGTGTGTGAGAAAGAGAGTGAAAGAGACATAGCAAATTCCTAATGCTTTCCATTTAATATTTGTTGAAAAATAAAACTGATCTAAAAATGGTCTATTCCAAAAAAGCAAAATAATTAAAAAAAAAAACATAAAGTCACAACAGTCTACTTTGGGATTCAGGATAAGATGATGAAGATTCCTTCTTTCTCATAGTCACATGGGGAAGATAAAAGCCAAGAATATAAAGGTTTAAAAAACCCTTCTGGAACCCCCAGCCCTCACTCAAAGTAAAATGTATAGTTGGAAAAATATGAAGCCTTTAGTGAGACAAAGATAGCCATAGGAAAGAGAAATCCTACCCATCTCAAAACCTTAGTACACACACACACACACACACATTTACTGTTGTTTTAACACAAAAAGTTATGTCCAATTCGACATGAAAAACAATGTAGACATCATTTTTCTATGCACATGGCATCTGCAAGGAAGGCAAAGCAAGGAGAAAGGAAGGGAGGGAGAGAAGAAGGGTCAGAAGAAGGAAGGAAGAAATGAAGGAACAAAGGAAGGAGTAGGGGGAGAGAGGGAGGAAAACATCGTTAACAAAGAAAATAGAACTATCAAGATTTAAAGATTACTTTCAGGAAAAACAATATTTTTGTATTAATTTGATTTTTTATTAATAAAATAGAAACTTAGACTCCTGACAACAGCTTTGATCTTATATCTTATCTGACCACATGCTGGAGTGGCAATAGTTTATAAAAGGACTTGGGTGAGAACATTCAATATATAAGTTTCAACAAAAATGCAGATTAGGATGTCTAAAGTTCAGTAAATGAAAAATTAAATGGAGCACATTAAATCTTAGGAATCATAGGAGTCTCTCCCTCAAACAAGTGGGGCCTCCTTTAATTATCTTCATCATAGCCACTTGCAATTACAAGAAAATTCATTAAGATCAATCACGTTGTGTAACCCCTTAGAGAAAAAAACTGTGGGAACTCATGGGTAATTTTCACAGCTTCATTATAAAGTCCAAGATGAAAAGGATTGTTTTCTTCTTTAAACTGGACATAAGATGCACACATGATGGTTGCTTTTGCCATTACTCTGCCAACTACTTCCATGATTCCAGCAATTTTTCAATCAAGAGGCTACATCAATTCAATGGTTTCATTTTTTCCTTCTCCATCTGAAAGAATAAACATCTCTCCAGTAGGGTAAATCTTTTCCAGCCTTCCTACGAAGCAGACGGGCCTGTCAATGAACTGAGCTAGCATGCTGGCATTGACGAGGGCCTTGGGCAACTCCATCAACTCAATCATCCAATATTTTAAATTTAGGACTAATTTATCAAAAACATCTAGTGGAAGATTAGAAAACATGCCTAAAAATAATAAGTTTAAATTTCAGCAGATAAATGAAAGCTACAAAAATAATCTAATGGAAATGCTAGAAATAAAATATAGCATTAGAGATGAATATTTTTTCATAAACTTATGTGCAGATTCAAATTAAGAAAAAAATGTAAGTGAACTTGAAAACAGAATAAGAAAAATTACCTAAATTTAGAAAAATTAGGACTTAAAAGAATTCACAAGTGGTAGACAATACAAAATATGTCCTAACATATTTAGAGTATCAGAGGGAGAAGGTACAGAAGAAAAGAGGGATGAGGATTAAAACAATAAGTGAAACAAAAATGAAATCACAGATGTCAGAATTTCAGAGAATCCAAAGGGGAGAAAATTCTCCTAAAGGAGAATTCTTATATACATAGTATTTGAAGAGTAACAAGGCAAAGATTAAGAGAAATGCTTGGAGAGAGCAGGAGGAAGAAGACATATTATACACAGAAAGATGAAAAACAGACCACAGCTCTAGTTAGAAAGTATGTAAAATAAAAATTACAGTAACATCTTTGTAGTATTAAAAACAAACTTTTTTTTCTTTTTCTTTTTTTTAATTAGTTGTTCAAAACATTACAAAGCTCTTGACATATCATATTTCATACATTTGATTCAAACAGATTATGAACTCCCATTTTTACCCCGTATACATATTGCAGATTCACATCGGTTACACATCCACTTTTTTACATACTGCCATACTAGTGTCTGTTGTATTCTGCTGCCCTTCCTATCTTCTACTATCCCCCCTCCCCTCCCCTCCACTCCCATCTTCTCTCTCTAACCCATCTACTGTAATTCATTTCTCTCTCTTGTTTTTTTTCCCCTTTCCCCTTACTTCCTCTTATATGTAATTTTTGTATAACAATGAGGGTCTCCTTCCTTTACCATGCAATTTCCCTTCTCTCTCTCTTTCCCTCCCCCCTCTCGTCCCTGTTTAATGGTGATCTTCTTCTCATGCTCTTCCTCCCTATTCTGTTCTTAGTTGCTCTCCTTATATCAAAGAAGACATTTGGCATTTGTTTTTTAGGGATTGGCTAGCTTCACTTAGCATAATCTCTTCTGATGCCATCCATTTCCCTGCAAATTCCATGATTTTGTCATTTTTTAGTGCAGAGTAATACTCCATTGTGTATAAATGCCACATTTTTTTATCCGTTCATCTATTGAAGGGCATCTGGGTTGGTTCCATAGTCTAGCTATTGTGAATTGTGCTGCTAGGAACATCGTTGTAGCAGTATCCCTATAATACACTCTTTTAAGGTCTTTAGGGAATAGTCCAAGAAGGGGAATAGCTGGGTCAAATGGTGGTTCCATTCCCAGCTTCCCAGGGAATCTCCATACTGCTTTCCAAATTGGCTGCACCAATTTGCAGCCCCACCAGCAATGTACAAGTGTACCCTTTTCCCCACATCCTCGCCAGCACTTCTTGTTGTTTGACTTCATAATGGCTGCCAAGCTTACTGGAGTGAGATGGTATCTTAGGGTGGTTTTGATTTGCATTTCTCTGACTGCTAGAGATGGTGAGCATTTTTTCATGTATTTGTTGATTGATTGCATGTCCTCCTCTGAGAAGTGTCTGTTCAGGTCCTTGGCAGGGCATGGTTGTGCAGGCTTGTAATCTCAGCAATTTGCGAGGCTGAGGCAGGCAAATTGCAAGTTCAAAGCCAACCTCACCAATTTAGGGAGGCACTAAGTAACTCAGTGAGATCCTCTATCTAAATAAAATATAAAATAGCACTGGGGATGTGGCTCTGTGGTTAAGTGCCCTCCGTTCAATCCCCAGTACCAAAAAAAAAAAAAAAACAAACCTATATTCGGTGTAACTATCTTTCAAAATAAGGGTGTCATAATATTTCCTAAACAAACAAACAAACAAAACAGAATACTTATTCCTGAAGAGCTGGAGAGTTGTTAAAGGAATTTCTTCAATCAGGAAGATAAAATATTTGACATGAACTTAGATCTACATAAAGAAGTGAATAGCTTCACACAAATTTTAAAGTAAATTTTTCTTCATTTTAATTTACTTAAAAGGTGGTTAATATTTAGTAAAAAATTAAGTAAACTACAAAGTCTTTACATTTTACATAAAAATAGTATAATAATTTTGAAGGTATATGATAAGTTACTAAAGTTTTATATTGTTAGCCTTAGGGGAAAACATCAAAAATTAGAGGAAAAATTAAATCATGGAAAACATTCCATTAATTCAAAGTCAGGCAGAAAAGGAGAAAAACTAGAATAGATAAAAACAAAACAAAAATCTAGCAAGGTAATAGACTTAAATACAATCCTATTAATATTTTCCTTAAGTATAAATGTTGTAAACATATCCATTAAATGCCAGATTTTTATACTTAATAAAAATGCAAAACTAAATTATATGCAATTAGTAGAAATTTCATTTAAATATTTTCACATAATGATTTTGTCACTATGTGACAGACCACTTTAAAAATGCACCATGTAAAAAGTCCATAATGCTAATGCTAAGCAAAGAAAGCCAGAGGGACAAGAGTTCAAAATAAGGAATATACATCGATAAAAAGAAATATATATCATGATGAATTGATACATTTCCCAAAAGAGCAAATAATCCCAAATGTGTGTCACATACATAACATGTTCAAAATACGTGAAGCCAAAATATACCAAAATTGAAAAGTTCTGTATACCTATCTATAATTAAAGTTGGATATTTGAACTCCACCGTTAGTCACTTTTCCATTACTATAATACCTATGTTGATCAACTTAAAAGGAGAAAGTACTCTTATTTTGCTTCACAATTCTGGAAGTTTCAGCCTATGGTTGGTTGATTCAATGCTTTTAGTCTTGTATCAAGACAGAATAATGTGTTAGGAGTACATTATGGAGAAAATTGCTTGGCTTATGGGAACCAGGAAGAATATAGAAATAGAGAAGGAAGAACTAGGTTCTCAATATTCCCTTTAAGAGCATCCCCCACCAGACCTAACTTCCTCCATCAAAGAAGGAACCAGTCAACCATGGAATGAAACCTCCATAATTGTAAGAAAAAAAATCAGGGGAGAAAAATTCAAAGGGGAGAAAATTCTTATATGCCTAGTATTCAAAGAGTAAGGAGAGTAATAAAGATTTTTATTCCTCTAAGTTGTTTTTCTCACGTATTTTATTACAGCATGAAAAGCTGACTAAAACACACATGATTTTCAGTCTGCCATAGCCAACTGTGGTCTGAAAGGATATACTAATTCTTGTCTTGACTCTTTGAAGAGAAAGACCATGTATTAGTCAGCCTTTTCACCATCGTGACCAGAACAATTTTAAAAGAGGAAGAGTGTTTTTGGTGCTCCATTTCATAGGTCTCAGTCCATGGCCAGCTCCATTGTCTATGGCTGAAGTGAGACACAACATCATGACATAAACATGAGGGGGAGGAAAGTAGCTCAGAAGATAACAATGAGGAAACAGAGAGATCTCCCTTCACCATGGACAAAATATAAAACCTGAAGACATGCCCCCAGTGACACACCTCCTCCAGCCACACCCTACCTATCTACTACCCCATTAATCCCTATCAGGAGCTTAATGCACTGATTAGGTTAAGACTTAACATCTCTCAATTATTTTCCCTCTAAACTTTTTTACACTGTCTCACACATAAGTTTTTGGTAGATACTTCATATCTTAACTATAACAGACCACTTTCACCTAACTTTAAGTGCTAAATATTGTTATAATTGTTTCATTTTATTATTGGCTAGTGTTATTAATCTCTGTTTTGAATACATAAATCAAACTTTACCATAGGTATGCATGTATAGCAAAAATGTAGTATATACAAGGTTCAGCATCATCTGTAGTTTTAAACATCCACTGAACACACTCCCCAAGAAAAAGAATGAACTACTGTAAGATGTGAAATATAGCTTGATTGTTGTGGTAGTTACTGTTATATCATTTGCCAGCATTCCAAGTTCTGTGCACTAAATAGGTTGAATTTATGAATGGGGGAAAATTATGTAAAGGCTAAATGAATGCAAATTATACCTCACTTAAAAATATAAGATGAAGTTTCACTAAATCTTTTATGCCATGGAACAGGCTAAGACTTTTGTATTCCAGAAAAAAAATTATACACACACACACACACATATATATATATATACACACATATGTATATATATATATATATCACTATATATATAATTTTATAATTATATAATCGTATATATTATATATATATATATATATATAATATTTTATATTATATATCCCTTTGTAAGAAATCCAATGAAAGAGGATCTACCTCTCTCAGTCATTGAGTATATGAACAATTAGAGACAGAAAGGTTAGGAGTCTCATCTGTTGTGTCTGTAAATTCCTGTTTATTTGTTTTTTTTTTAAATTTTTGTTTTTTAATTTTTATCATAAGGTGCAATGTTGTTTATGGATAAAAATCAGTTCTATTCTAAGGAAATGCTGAGTGTTTCTTTGCTCAGTAGAACTAGCTGAGCAAGACAACTTTAAATTTGATTTTTTTTTTCTTATTGGAAATGCTGAAAAAAATATTATGAAGTGTAAAGTGTTTCCAAAACACTGGAAGGAGGTGTTACCGTTTCAAAGTTAGGTGAGATTTTAAATTTTAAAAGCATGTTCACAATGTAATTTAGACCCTTTTTTAGAAGTTACCATCTGTCTTTGTTGACTCTAGTATTTCATAAGGTTAAATATCTCTATTATGTTACTACAGAATTTATTTTATAAGAATGTCCATTGATAATATGATTTAAAATTAATAGAATTTTCTAGGGTATATTTAATTTTATTTTCTATCCTTTTTTTTTACCATGATTAATGAGGGCAAAATTTTAGAAATTTAACAACTTAGTGACCAAATCAGCAATGATAAAACAGTGTATTTTCATTGGA